TGTGGATGCCCCATCCCTAGAAGTGTTCAAGGCCAGGCTGGATGGGGCTTTGAGCAACCTGGTCTAGTGAAAGGTGTCCCTTCCCATGGCAGGGGGGATATCATTTCAAAGAAATTATATGATCTTTAGGGTCCTTTCCAACCCAAACTATTCCGTAATTCTCTGAGCTCCCTAGTACCCCACTGAGTCAGATGAATACTGCAAGGGGCTTCTGCGAACAGACTGAGCAGAAACTTGATCAATTATCCTCAACTTGAGCACCTGCTGTCATTTCATTTGGCAGAAGACCTTCCCCACAAGGCTCCAGGATGACACCCTCACACAGTGCCCTGCCTCTCCACATCGGTCCACCTCAGCTTGCAGTTACCTGCTTATATCTTGGACCACCTCTGGCACCTCAAAGTTTATCAGGAGTTCGTGGCCTCCATTTCCAGTAATTCCAATGGGAGCTAAGACACACAGTTCACACGCAGGTGCCTGTTTTGTGCACACCTGAACCGAGGCAAGACGACTCCAACCTCCAGTGGGTTTGTGGTCAATATGGGAAGTAGCAGAGTCTACAAACGTACAAACCTGCAATAGTGACTCAGCTGACTCCCTTCTCCCATCCTGGTGTCCTGGTTTCAGCTAGGACAGAGAACAGTTTTCTTCCTAGTAGCTGGTGGAATGCTGTGTTTTGGCTTGGGATGAGAAGAGTGCTGATAACACCCCAATGTTTTAATTGTTGCAGAGCAGTGCTTACACCAAGCCAAGGACGTCTCAGCTTCTTGCTCTTTCCTGTCAATGGGCAGGCTGGGGGTGCAGCAAGAGCTGGGAGGGGACAGACCCAGGACAGGTGAGCCAAACTAGCCAAAGTGGTATTCCATACCATCTGACGTCATGCTAAACAATATATAGGGGTGGCTAGCCGGGTGGAGGGGGCCGGACTGCTCAGGGTTAGGCTGGGCATCGGTCAGTGGGTGGTGAGCAATTGCATTGTGCATCACTTGTTTGTACACATTATTAGTAGTAGTACTATTATTATTATTGTTATTATTTTCCTGTCTTAATAAACTGTCTTTATCTCAACTCATGGGCTTTACTATCCCATTTCTCTCCCCCGTCCCAGAGAGGGAGGGAGGAGGGTGAGCGAATGGTTTAGCTGCTGGCCAGGTTAAACCACTACAAGTATTATTTGCATAGTAATACAGATACACTTTGGATAGTATGAGAAAAAAGCTACAAGTCAGTCTTTCCACAATTTTGACTTTACTTTATTCAGAAGAGGATGCTGTTATATCCCCAGCATCATATATCTGATTACCATATTCTAGGCAGACAAAACTTGGCAACCACCAACATCAGGAGATTAATACACCACATATTTCAGTCAGCTTTTCAAACACTGGATTGTCTAGGCATACTCTCTTCTAAATTTGCAGTGGTTTGGAGAAAAAAGTACCCAATTACTAAGCATCTTCTGCAACTGCTTGATCCCCATGCTGGATATAGCTCGTTTACTTTACTCCAATCCAGTGAATAATGAAACAAAATGGCATACACAAATCATCTGGCAGGGCGACACACTTCCAGTTAGCATCCAGAGCCATCTGGACCCATGCTAAGAGAAACAGTAGTTTACAGCCTTGACATCTTCTGAAGCAAGAATGCTAGAATGCATGGAAATGGAAATGGTGAAAAGCTGCAATGCTTAAGTTCAGACTGCACATTAGGAAAAAATTCTTTACTGTGGGGTGATCAAACCCTGGAACAGGCATCCTTGAGGGGTGGTTGACACCCCATAACTTCCAGTGTTCCAGAGGCATTTGGGCAATGCCCTCAAGAATATGCTTTAAATTTTGATTATCCTTGAAGAGGTCAGACAGTTGGACTCAATCTTTGAAGGTCCCTTCCAACTGAACTATCTTATTCTAGGAAAACTCGCTTCCAGCTCTCTCAAGATAGTAGCAGCATCATTTCTAACAAAAAGCTTGGCCAGATGATTGTACCCATTTTGTTCATTGCTAAAGGAGAAAAGAAATATCCATTAGGCAACTGTCACTTTGCACAGAAATACTGTTTCCATAGTATTTTGGTTTATCTTACACAATAAAACATTAGCCTTGTTTATAATTTAATAATCCAAAATATTTTTTTTGTGAAATAACACTCAGGAGTGTGTTACATCAAGGGGAACTCATTCATTTCTGAACAAGCAGTTTTCTCTTCAGAAATATTGGTACAGAATTTAACTAATCAAGACTGAAGATCGTGGTTTTGGTGTATGTGTCAGAACACAGTACGGTTACATGCAAGATGACTATCTACCAGGTTATCATCTTTTATTTTCTGTAGGTCTCCCATGTAGGAGTAAGACAGCAAAGAGGACACAGTGACCTTACCAGTTAGTACTCCAGTGATTCATCAAGACTTAACATTTTGTCATTTTTTTTTACCATATAATTCACATTCTCCATGCCATCATCTGGTTGTAGCTACTTCACTAGTGCAGGACTTACAGGAGCACTTCTTTTTTTCCAGGTAGGAAGCAGAATGGTTAAATGATGAAATGCTTCCTGAAAATGTTACAGTTGTCAGCCAGGAAGTCTGTGGCTCTTTTCCTGTAGGGTCATGTCACTTGCCAGCACTACATCATGCTAGGTGGAATGCCAGACTAGACTTCAATTACGTTGCCCCAAACAGTACCCATTTGTATTAAAAACATTTCTGAGGCAGTGTATATACAGTGGTGTTACTCTCCTGTTGTGGTTTAACCTGGCAGGCTGCTAAGCAGCACGCAGCCATTCGCTTATTCTCCCACTCTCCCAGTGGGATGGGGGAGAAAATTGGGAAAACAACAAAGTTAGAACTTGTGGGTTGAAATAAAGACAGTTGAATGGTTCCTTAAAGGGAGGAAAACCAATAACAACTACAATTATAATATATCTACAAAAGGCATGATGCACAATTGTGGTGTAATTGCCTGAAGTAACTAGGAAAATAAAACTAACGTTCACATTTTTAAGGAAAAGGTACAGCTTTGAAGAGGCTTTCAGGGTAGGGCATAACTGCATTATCTGAGCGTTCCCTAGGCTCCCAACCTTAGATGCTATCGCACTGAGGAAACTTGGTGTGCTAGCTCTAAGGAACACCACGGAGCGTGGAGTGGAGTGGAGACACCACGGCTAGGCTCTGTAATCAGATGGGGCCTCAGTTGTTCTTGTGCACAAAGCTGCACTTTTTGCCACCCTGAGCCAAAGACCTGTCATGTTTTGACAAATGCTGTACCCTAGTGTACTTTTTGCTCATTATAATATCATTATAATACCAAAACACACCTCCATCCCAAAAGCTACCCGCCTCCAAGGTGCGACCACCCCTCACTGAGCATGCGCCCTGAATTTCTCGGAGCCTATTACTTTAAACGGAGATGGGAAAACTTTACACCAATCATAACTAATATATGCTTGACTAGAGCCACTCAAGCTCCACCTAAAAGATAGAAAATAATATAAATTGGCCCAAGAGAGAGGGGATGTTAGGGAAGATACCACCGTCAGGGGAGATACCATCCCGAGGAAATCCAACATCCTTAGGACCTCCTGACTCCTGGGATCAGTCGACAGGCTGAGCCTCTCTTCCCCCCCCCCCCATTGGGACGCCTTTGGGTGAGATCTGAATACTTGCTTATAAATCTCTATAGAGTCTTTAATCCTTTTAACGTGTTTATTTCTAGGCTGCGCACCTGTAACACCTGTAACGTCTATAACATCTATAACAACTATAACATCTGTAACATCTATAACATCTAACACATCTGTAACATCTATAACACCTGTGTATTTCATGCATACTATCTTGCTTTTGCAGACAGTCACTATCACCGGCAATCCAAAAGAACCTGATTATCTGTTGCTGTAATAAACCATACTTGATTGCATTGTGATAGCTCTCATTAAATGCAACTAGGGTGAGGGTGGTTATCCGTGATAGTTCAGTGTTCTGAATCTAACCAGACCCCCAGACGGTTAATGCATTTTTGGTGAATGTCTGAACGGACCCCCAGACAGTTAATACGTTTTTGGTGAATGTCCGAATGGACCCCCAGACCGTTAATGCGTTTTTGGTGAATGTCTGACTAGACCCCCAGGCGGTTAATGTGTTTTTGGTGAACGTCCGACTGGTTCAGTACTCTGAATCCAACCGGGCCCGTAACGGTTAATCAGCTATACCCCTTAACGCGACAACAATGCAATTGCTTAACATCCACCAATTGATACCCTGCCAGGCCCCAAACAGCACCTCTCCATCCATGGGCAACCCCCAAAGTTTTGTTGTTCTGCATGATGCCAGACGGAATGGGACATCCCTTGGGCCAGTTTGGGTCTCCTGTTCTGTGTGGTGTTTAGCTGCCGGCTGGGTTAAACCACGACAGTCCTTTTTGGCACCCAGTGTGGGGCTTCTTCAGCATGACCCACCTCCTCCTCTGATGATATCCCAAGGTATTTGCCTTCTGGCCAGTCCATAATCACTTCCAAGATTCCTGGGCCACTGGGGTTTCCTATTCGAGCCCACTGAGTAATCAGTGCAACTCACTTGCTCCATGTAGCATCAGTTGCATGATGCGTAGAGGGGACCCTTCCCTTGAACATCCAGCCTAGTACCGGCAATCGGGGTGCTAGGAGGAGCTGCACTTCAGTACCGACCACCTCCGAAGCAGATCGAACTCCTTCATATGCTGCCAATATCTCCTTTTCAGTTGGAGTATAGCGGGCCTCAGATCCTCCGTATCCCCGACTCCAAAACCCCAGGGGCCGACCTCGAGTTTCCCCAGGTTCTTTCTGCCAGAGGCTCCAGGTGGGGCGGTTCTCCCCAGCTGCAGTGTAGAGCACATTCTTTACATCTGGTCCTGTTCGAACTGGCCCAAGGGCTACTGCATGGACTATTTCCTGCTTGATTTGTTCAAAGGCTTGTCCTTGCTCAGGGCCCCATTCAGACTCATTCTTCTAGTAACTGGTTGTACAGTAAACCACAACAACTGGGTAAAGGAGATGGCTGCCTGTCACTGTCTCACAATGGGACAAGAAAAGCTCCAGGGACACCTCAAGCAAGTGCGGGGGGAGCAGGGAGGGGAAAGAAAATGATGCCTTGGGCTGGGCAGCTGATCTCAGCCAGGCTCCTGGGACAGAGGCAGTTCCCGGCAAGCTGGCAGCTCCGCAGAGACAGCTCTGCCCAGGAGCAGCTCCTCTGCACATTGCAGCAGGGCTAGGGACACTGCCTGCAGGGGGCAATGGAAGAGAAGACAGACAGAGATTAAAAGCTTTCTGAACTTGGAATGCAATTTAGAGTTCATTGTGGGAGGAACCTTGACACCCACTCACACGGTAAGTCTCCTGCTGCAGGGCAATAGGGATGCAGTGTACAGACAGATGCCCTAAATTTGCACTTCCCAGAGATTATGGATCTACTCGGAGCTTCAGCTCACCCTCAGCATGTTTTCAAGAGGACTTTTCGTAAGTATGATCGAGGCAGCCTTTCCTGCTTGACTCTGTGCTTCCCTTGTAGCTGCACTTTCAGTTTTCACTCTTTTGTCTTGATGGGAACCAAAATAGAGCTGAGAGGTTTAGAAAAGGGGCCGAGGCTCCTACACCGCCATCCTGAGGACAACAAAGAATATTGGGAGAAGCCTTCACCCCTCACCAACCTGGAAATAACACCAGCATCACCTTCCCAGTTTCATCAGGGCTCGTCTGACCTGCTGTTTAGTGCCTGCAAGCATGAAGCCGGCCCTGTGCAGTGCCCTGTCCCGGGGAGGTACCTGCAGGGCAGAGCTGAATATGCAGCACGTAGGATGGGGTCTGGGAGCTTCGACAGGGAGCTGAGATGGTGGCCGGGAAACAGATCCTGGCAGGGACAGCGCCAGGCAGCAGCATGGGTGGGCAGTGGGAAGGAACTAGTGTCAGAACTGCTGGGAAGGGGGGAATTTAGCTGCTGCCTGTCACCCACCTCCTGCAGTACAGCCCCCTTGCTCTGAGCAAGCCCCCAGCTCTCCTCTCCCAGCCAAAAAAGCCTCTGCTCTCACAGCTGGGGCTTCCAGGGCAGGAGCAGCCCCAGCTCCAGCACAGCAGAGGTGCCTCTCTCCTGATACATGCTCTCAGAGAAGTCAGGCTTGTTGTGCTTAGTGCCTCTTTTGCTTTGGCATGTTTTCTCTTCATTGTGCTGTCCTATGTGCAGATCTTCAGGGCCGTGCTCAGGATCCCCTCGCAGCAGGGACGGCACAAAGCCTTTTCCACGTGCCTCCCTCACCTGGTTGTTGTCTCCCTCTTTATCAGTAGCATTGTGTTTGCAAACCCAAAGCCCCCCTCCACCTCCTGCCCATCCCAAGATCTGGTGGTGTCATTTCTGTACTCAGTGGTGCCTCCAGCACTGAACCCTCTCATCTACAGCATAAGGAACCAAGAGATCAGGGATGGCATTAGGCAAGTGATGCCATAGACATTTTTGTAAGAGCTAAAGCTGCCCATCTGTCCCCAGCAATTGTTTCCCTGCAAATGCCACACTGTGCCAGAGCTTCATTTAATCACTGTATTACTGTTTTATTTCTCCTTATCATTTTCCCACATAAATGATTGGATTTGTCTCACTACATCTGAGGAATGGACCTGCTCCTTTGCACCTGGAAGCCATGGAAAAGTCTGTCTAACATGGGCTCAGACCTGTCTTTTTGTCCCATCTCTGTAGTAAAATGGGCTCCCTTGTGTGCATTGATCTGGGTTCTTCTTCCAAAGGTGGTGCCAAAACTAGTGAGACCCCAAAAAAGCCTTTTTATCCTTCTATTTGGGAGCACAAAACTCATTGTCTCGTCATGACCTGCTAGACACAGGTTTGGATTTAGGATTGATGTGATGGTTACTAGTGGCAGTGGATATGGTGAGTGCCACTGGGGGACATATCCAGGATTTCCCCAAATGGCATGGAAGACACCTGTCCATCAGGAGGACACTATGGGAAAAGAGGGAATCTGCAGGGGACACGTGCCTCAGGTGGGCAGTGAATGGCTCTCCACGTAGTGAGAGACCACTCCAGGTGTGCTCACTTCTAGGAATATCACTTGATCCAGGTATCCACAGGCAAGTGGCGACCCAGCAGAGGGATGGGAGGCTGGAGAGGGATTCACATCACTCTCATTGGTGTATCGCTGCCTGGATCGAGAGGCATGTCTGGAATATCTAATGCCCTCGGTAAGGCTCCAAAGTCCCTCCAAGCACTTTTCACCTCCAGAGAGCCCTGGTGGGCTCTGTGAGCAGTAGTGGTACCCACCTGGCTAGGTCAGCTTCCCAGCCTGAAGAGTACAGCCAGTGTAGGTTCACCGCAGGGTCCTTCTGCTGTCCAGAGGGTGCTGCATGGCACAGGCTACTCACAGCTCCACATCACCACCCTCAGAACATTTATGAGTGCATTTTTGAAGAAGATCGAGGCACCGTGTACCTGAAAGGCAAGGAGAGAGCGCTTTTTGTTTTCTACTGCTGGCTGGTGAGGGGAGAATTTTGAGATGGGAACTCTCAATTCCGAACAAGGTACTGAAACTCCAGACCTCTTCCACAGAGAGGTGAAAAAAATCTGGAAGTATCCCAAGAAGACACCCAAGCTTTAGAGAACCTATAAAAACTTTCCAGGTTTAGCAGGGTTGCTCTCACCTGCTGCATAACTCCTGCATAAACAGCAATGTTCCTGCGCCATGCCCTGCTCCTAGGGGTGTCTGCAGGGCAGAGCTGAGCACACAGAGGGTGGGATGGGGTCTGGGAGCACAGGCAGGGAGCAAACGTGGGCACAGAGACACAGCTCCCAGCAGGGGCAGCTCCAGGGAGTGGGAAGGAGCAGCTCCCAGAAATGCTGGGGTATTGGGACTGAGGCACCTCCCTGTCATCCTCTGCAGTCCAAACACCATCCCTGGAGCAAACCCTGGTCTTATTCTGCTCGTTGATTTGTTGTCATGCAGACCGCTCGTGCTGGTTGTTTTCTCAACTCCTCAATTGTTACTTCTTCTTCCACCTTGTCTTGTACGTTATCTTGCATACTAGCTACTTTATTTCTGTGTCTAGCAGATTCCACCGGCTTCCAAACTGACCTCCCATAATTCCCCCTTTTTGTGTTTCTATGAGCCAAGCCCATTGCACTGATCGTAAAATCTTTTTCTTGTAAGCATTGAAATAGGCATGGTACAACTAACAGAATCACAATTACCAAAATCAGCACTACAAGTGCTCCTCTTATAAATTCTCCCAACCATCCACCTATTCCCAGGCTTTGCAACCGTGATTCCAACCCCCACGTGCTAGTTGTTAATTTGTCTGTGAGCTCCTTGAGTTTGGATAATTGTTGGTGAATCAACTGAGAACGGTCATTTAAGTTCATACAACACATTCTGTTCACACAACATGTCCTGCCATGAGGACAAATATCATTCTGAGGGGCCACCGTAATCACCAACCTATTCTCAGCCCTCCCATACATCGGACAGACCCTAGTGGAATGGGCCTGAGGAGGATTCTCGGTAGACAACCCAACCCTAACCCGATTCTTCGCCATCCACTTCCTGCTACCCTTCCTTAATCGCAGGAATTACCCTAGTCCACTTAACCTTCCTACACGAATCAGGCTCAAACAACCCCCTAGGCATTGTATCAGACTGCGACAAAATCCCATTCCACCCGTACTTCTCCTTTAAAGACATCCTAGGGTTTATCCTCATGCTCACCCCCTTAATAGCACTAGCCCTATTCTTGCCGAACCTTCTAGGGGACCCAGAAAACTTCACCCCAGCGAACTGTTCGTCCAATTCATCACACTCATGACCTTGTGCTAACAATAGGAAATCTATTGTGGCCCTATTCTGCAGCTTTGCATGTCTAACAGAGTCAGTGTCGGTTAATAATGCACTCAATGCCGCAGAGGTTGCATTGGTTTGCTTAGCCAGCCAGCATCCTGATTTGTTAAGCGTTGTTAGCGCTTGAGCAGCAGCAACACCAGGCACGGAAAACGAAGTAGTGATAATTTTATCAGCTTGCCAGAAATCGAGATTGTCTTTGCAATTCTCCTGATAATGCTTAACAGATTGTTAGCATGTCTGTGGTGTTATGTAATATTTAGTATCTGTTATAAATGAGGTCTCAACTCAATCTGAATTTTCTAATATTATAAAACAAATATTTCTAAAAGGTATAGAAGGCAAGTAAACAGCGCTGGGTGTGCAGGGAGTCTACGCTCCACCAACACACACACACGAACATCAAACATTCTAAATATACAGAACATTGCTTTACATACTAAACGCAAGTATGCCTAGACATACGTACAATCAGAAAAGGTAACAAACAATCCTCCAAGTTCCATGACTTACTAAATCGACTACGCCTATACATTTGCACACTCAGAAAAGGTAACAAACAATCCTTTACATTCCATGACTTAACAGTCTCCATTTTCCACTCCTTTTCTTGATTACATACAAGTCTCCATTTTCCATTCCTTTTGAACAATATGTCTCGCTTTAAGTTGTCAAGCAACTCGGTCTTCGGGCCTTATGTATCCCATTCTTCCCAGATCGAAGAAAAGCATATCCATCTCCTTTTCAAGACCAATAGGGCCTGGGTCAAAAGGCACGTCCAGGTCACCAGGGGGAGCAACAGCAAAAGCTTGCAATGGCTGTGGCAGCAGAGGGGCCCATGGCGTAGCAGTCGGATCAGTAAAGGAGCCCACAGCTCCCTCACTGTCTGTCAAACCACACGTTTCTGACTGTGGTCCCACAGGGCTCTTTAAGGCCTCAGAGACTGCTCGCCAGGTGCCGAGTAATCCCACTGCAACCTTGTTGGTTTTAGTTGCAGAGTCCCACATCTTGACCTCAGTTTGGTCCCATATTTCAGGCTCATAAACTGTCCAATTGTTAATACGGAGAATGAGCTGTAAGGTTACCAGAACATCTTGGTTTCTAAGGACGTATGATTCCCCATAATGCGCAGCTGCTTACCAGCGAGGGGCAGTTGTGTGCCGGGTCCGCTTCTCTCAGCTCGAGCTTCTCTCCAGCTCTGGTGCGCACATTTCCAGCGACTTTCTGTATGAGCTTCTCTGAGCAGTTTGCTGAGTCTGGCCGAACCTATCTTCATGAGGCAATCAAAATGCCTGTTCCGTCCTGGTCTCCATTCTGCTAGCCTGTTCCTCTTCATTCTTTCTTTCTTCTTCTTTATTGATGACATAACTTCATTACATTGCGTTGCCTTTTTTATCTTGAGGGCAGGCTCCCCTCTTATACCCTTCACCCCACAGCAGTTCTTTTCAAAAACAACTTTTCATTGGTCAAACAACTTTGCAAGTAACCGCAACAGCAAAAACCCAGAAACTTCCCTGGCTTAAGGGCTGGAGAACAAGAAACTGGAGACTGCATGGAGTCTCCTGAATCACCCTTCTTTGTTCCCTCTAAACTCTTTTACATTCCTGATGGCCTCATCATTAAGAGTCTGATGTTATCATCAACCACGGGGGGGGGCTTGCCGACCCCCATGGCCACACTCCCAAATCTCCCCCTGCTTTATTAATATCAACCATCTTCTCGACATGGATTACTACTCCATATATAACACACATTATGGGGAATCATACATCCTTAGGAACAAAGACTGTCCTGGTAGCCTTACAGCTTATTCTCCTTATTAACAATCCTTATTAACAAGTTTATGATCCTGAAACATGGAACCAAATTGATGTCAAGGTGTGGGACTCTGCAAATAAAAATGACAAGGTTGCAGTGGGAATCTCTGAGGCCTTAAAGAGCCCTGTGGGACCACAGTCAGAAACGTGTGGCTTGCCAGATAGTGAAGGAGCTGCGGGCTCCTTTACTGATCCGACTGCCACACCACGGGCCCCTCTGCTGCTACAGCCATCGAAGGCCTTTGCTGTTACGCCCATGGTGACCTGGACGTGCCTTTTGACCTCATTGGCCTTGAAAAGGAGATGGATATGCTTTTCTTCAATCTGGGAAGAACGGGATACATAAGGCCCGAAGACCGAGTTGCTTGACAACTTAAAGTAAGACATATTGTTCAAAAGGAAAGGAAGTTGGAGACTGTTAAGTCATGGAACTTAAAGGATTGTTTGCTATCTTTCCCGATTGCACGTATGTATAGAAGTAGTTGGGTTTAGTATGTAAAGCAATGTTCTGTATATTTAGGATGTTTGATGTTCGTGTGTGTGTGTTGGTGGAGCGTAGACTCCCCGCACACCCAGTGCTTTTACTTGCCTTCTATAAATATTCCTTTTATAAATATTACTAAATTCAGATTGAGCTGAGACTTCATTTATAACAAGCTGTACCCCAAGGCTTCCCTTGGGAGCTGTTTGTCATGGGAAGAAGTGGCGCCGTTATCCCATTGTCCCATCCCCGTTATCCCATTGTCCCATCCGCATTATCCCATTGTCCCTTCCCCGTTATCCCCCCTCCTTTTTTCTCTTCCCCTTCTTCCCCCCCCCCTCCTCCCGCTCACCCTTTCCTTCTCTGCCCCCCCTTTTGCATCTCCTCCTTTTCCCTGCCCCTCCCCTTTTTTCTCCCCCCCAGTTCTCTTCTTTCTCCCCCTTTTTTTCTCCCTGGTGGCCCCTGACTTTTGGGGGGGGGGGGGGGGGGGGGGTAAAACGTGGGAGGGGGGGGCAAAAATACGGGGGTGGTCGCAGAAAGAGGGGGGATTGCATAAAGGGGGGGGCGCCCCCTCCCCATGGGGGTGGGGGGGAGGGGTGAGAGGGGGAAGCTGCCCCATGGCTGCCCCGCAGCCAGCCCTGACCCCGCCCCCATCACGCCCTTTGACCAATGGGAGCTGAGCCCCCCACACTCTCGACCAATAGGGAGCCGCGCTGTGGAGGGGGCAGAGATTGCACCAAACGCTTGGGTGCAACCACGTGGGGAGATCTGGGGCTAATTTAAAGGATTTTGGTGCAAGGTGGGGGGGGGGAGGCTGGAGGGCAGTACAAGGAGGGGGTGGGTGTTCCGGGGGGGGGGATTTGGGCATAATTTAAGAGATTTTGGACAATCTGAGGAAAGGGGAAAGTTGGGGAGGGTTTGGAGGCTCGGGGGCATATTTGGGGACAATTTAAGGGATTTTGGGCAATCTGAGGGCAGGGGTGAAGTTGGGAACAGGCTGGGGGGGGGGGAGGTTCAACCCCCACAGGGAGATTTGGGGACAGTTTAAGGGATTTAGGGCAATATGGAGACAGAGGAGGAATACGGGGAAGAGAAGGGGTCTCCACAAGGAGATCTGGGGACAATTTAAAGGATTTGGGGCAATCTGAGGAAAGGTGAAATTTGGGGAGGGTTTGGGGGCTTTGGGGGCAGATTTGGGGACAATTTAAGGGATTTGGGGCATTATGGGGACAGAGTAGGAATATGGGGAAGGGATGGGGGCCCCAAGGAGATATGCAGCTAATTTAAGGGATTTGGGGCAATTTGGGAGGGGCACGGGAATTTGGGGCTAAACTGGGGTGTTTTGGGGTTCCAGGGGGAGATTTGGGCCTAATTTAAGGGATTTGGGACAATTTGGGGTGTGTGTGCGGATTTGGGGATAAACTGTGGGGTTTGGGGGCTCCAGGGGGAGATTTGGGGCCAATTCTGGGGATTTGGGGCAATCCAGGTGTGTGTGGGAGGAGGGGAACCCCTTCCCCCCTCCCCCTCCGGCCATTTGTCCTCCTCCCCCCCCCCATTTGTCACCCTCGGGTGTCCGGGGGGGGGAGGGGCTGCCCTTCCTCTCTCTCCACCCCCCACCCCCCCCCCCCCCCCCCCGCGTGGGAGCAGCCGCACGCGTCCGTTCCCACCCCTCCTCCCCCGCCCCCTCCCCTCCCCCCTCCGGCGGGTGCCGGGCACGAGCGGGATCAAAGGGGAGGGGGGGAGGGGCTGCCAGTGCCTCCCAGTGCTCCCAGGACGTCCCAGTTCCCCTCCCCAGTGTCCCCAGTGCTCCCAGTGTCCCCTCCCAGTACATCCCAGTGCTCCCAGTACCTCCCAGTTCCCCTCCTCAATGTTCTCAGTACTTCCCAGTGCCCCCAGTTCCTCCCCCATTGCTCTCAGTGTTCCCAGTATGGATTCCCAGTGTCCCACAGTTCCCCTCCTTGGTGTTCCCAGTATTCCTAGTGCAGGTTCCCAGTGTTCCCAGTGCAGATTCCCAGTGATCCCAATGCCCCCCAGTGCTCCCAGTAACCCCACTACCACTCCCCAGTTCTCCCAGTGCCCCCCACTACCCCTCCCCTGTGCTCTCAGTGCAGGTTCCCAGTTCTCCCAGTGCCCCCCAGTTCCCTGCTCCAGTGTCCCCAGTGCCCCCACTATCAGTTCCCAGTGCTCCCAGTCCCCCCCAGTGCTCCTAGTACAGGCTCCCAGTTCCCCCCTTCCCCTTCCCATTTCTCCCAGTACAGGCTCCCAGTCCACCCCCTCCCCCTCCCCCCGCCCCGCCTCTCCCCCGCCCCGCCCCCTCCCCCATAAAGCCCCCCTGGGACCCGGCCCTGCTCCCACCCGCAGCCGCCCCGAGCCATGAGCAGCACAGCCCCGCCGCCCGCCGCCAGGAAGGTAACGGACCAGTTTGGACCAGTTTGGACCAGTTCAGAATGGTTCAGACCGGTCTGGCCCAGTTGGGGATTTGGTTCAGTCTGGGGTTTGGTCTGGTTTGGGTTTGGCCCAATTGGGATTTGTCCCAGTTTGGGTTTGGCCCAGTTTAGGGTTTGACCCAGTTTGGGGGCTGGTCTGGTTTTGGGTTTGTCCCAGTTAGGACTTCGCCCAGTTTGGCCCAGGTGGGACTCAGCCTGGTTCCGCCCCATTTTACCCAGTCAGGACGTGGCCCAGTTTGTCCTGGTTCAGCCCAGTTGCCCGGTTTGACCCCATTCAACCCAGTTCAGCCCCATTTGTGCCAATCTGACTCCCCCCAGTCCCTCCTGGTCCTTCCCAGTCTGTCCCAGCTCAACCCAGTCTGTTCCAATTTCACACTCCCAGTCCTCCCCAGTCCATCCCAGTTCAGCCCAGTTTGTTCCATTTCAGCCCCTCCCAGTCCCTCCCAGTTCAACCCACTATTTTCCAATTTCACCCTCCCAGTCCCCTCCCACTCCCCCCCAGCCCCTCCCAGTCCCTCCCAGTGCTCCCAGTCCCTCCCAGTGCTCCCAGTTTGCCCCCTCCTGCCCTGCAGCTCCCGAAGCCGCAGGTGGAGCAGCGGCGCCGCGCCCGCCTCAACCACAGCCTCGAGCGGCTCCGGCTGCTGCTGCTTGCAGCCACCCGTGACCAGGTGAGGCCCTGTTGCGACTATTGGGACTATCGCGGCTCTATCACGGCCCTATTGGGACTATCGCGGCTCTATCACGGCCCTATTGCGACTATTGTGGCTCTGTCATGGCCCTATTGCGACTATCGTGGCTCTATTGTGGCTCACATGGCCCTTGTCACAGTTCTATCATGATTATCACAATTATCATGACTATCATGATGCTATCACAATGATCATCGCCCTATCATGGTCCTATTGTGACTATCATGGCTCACGCGGCTGTCATGGCTCCTGTCACAGTTCTATTGTGAGTATCACGACACTATCATGACTATCATGACTGTATCACAACTATTGCAGCCCTATCGTGATGATTGCAGCTCTGTTGTGGCTCTGTCATGGCTCTTCTCACAGTTCTGACTATCACGACTCTATCGTGGCTATCACGACTCTATCATGACTATTTGGGCTGTGTTAGGGCTCTATTGTGACTGCCACAGCTCTGTCATGGTTCTGTTGCAATGCTATCACGACCCTATCACGGCTCTATCATGATCCTATCACGACTAACGCAGCTCTATCACAACCCCATAATGACCTTCAGGGCTCTCTCATGCTACTATCATGACAGTTCTAGCTCCGTTGTGTCTGTCACGGCTCTATCCAGTCTCGGTCACAGCTCTGTCACGATTTATTGCCACTGTCACAACTGTCGGGGGGCTCTGTCACAACTGTTGTGGCCCTATCGCAATCATTGGCTCCACTGCAACTCTGTCATGACGATTCGGGCTCTGTCGCGATAGTCCACACCCGTTCAGCTGCGGCAGTTTTGTCTCCGCGCCCCACCCCCTGCATCATGGCGGCTCTGTCGCGATTGGCGCCACCTTGTGGCTGTCGCGATTGCTGCCGTCTCACCTAGCGCCCCTGTGGCTCGGTCACAATTATCACGGCGACCCTGCAGCTGTTGGGGCGCTATCAGGGCTCTATCGCAGGGGCTTTCCAGACATTATTGGGGTGGTATCAGGGGGTTGTTGAGACAATTATTGGGGTGCTACTGGGACACAATTGGGATGCTATCGCAATTCTATTGGGGCACTAATAGGGTGTTTTGGGGACGCTATCGGGGCCCTATCGGGGCACTATCACGATTCTATCAGGGCATTTTTGAGGTGCTTGTAGGGTGTTATGGGGATACTGTCAGGGCACTAACAGAGTGCTCTTGGGGTCACTATCAGGGCATTATCGGGGGCTATTGAGACGTTGTGTCACGACATGCTGGCAGCAGCTGCCGTTGGGGTGACGTCTCCGTGTGTGTGTGCCCCCCCTCCCGCACCACCCCCTCTCTCTTCCCCCTCCCCCACCCCCAACCCCTCCCCCCAGCGCCTCCGAAACCCCAAGGCGGAGAAGGCCGAGATCCTACAGAAAACGGTGCAGTTCCTGCGGGCCCAGCCCCAAGCAGGTGCGTGCCTCAATTTCCCCCAAAACCCACCCCAAATCCCCTCCTGGGGGGGGGGGGGGGGGACGGGACCCCCCCTCCCCATGGGGGATTACCTCTTTCTTGTGGGAGAAATCCCCCGCCATGGGGGGTTACCCCCTGCCATGGGGGATAATCCCCCTGTAGCTGCTCCGGGCCCCCCAAAATGGCCGAAGGGGACCACTCAATCCCCTCGGCGGCCATCTTCACGGGGGTCCCCGGGGGGGTGGAGGTGGTCACTGTGTCCCTCTCTGGTGCAGACCCCCCGGGGACGGAGGAGCTCTTCCTGCGGCACTACCGCAGCGGCTACCAGGAGTGCCTGGCCCGCGCTGCCCGCTTCCTGCAGGCCGCAGCTGCTGCCGAGCCCCCGCTGACCGGGCCAGGACCCCCAGCTCGTTGTCGCCGCCTGCTGCCGACACCCCCGGACCCTCCGCGCTGTGGGCCCGGCCTGGTTGCCGCGGGTACGGGCCCGGCCATCACTGCCATGGGCCGACTCCCAGGCCTGACTGTGCCAGTTGCCATGGAAACAGCACAGGTTGCCTAGGCAACCCCTCTTGTTGCCTTGGCAATCGCGCAGGTTGCCATGGAGATGGCTCCAGGTGCCCTAGTTACCATGGTTACTGGCCTGGTTTCAGGCCTAGTTTGCAGCCAAGCACGGGGCCTACTCCTAGGCCTGACTGTGCCAGTTGCCATGGCAACAGCACAGGTTGCCTGGGTGACCACCCTTGTTGCCCCGGCAATGGTGTGGGTTGCCATGGAGACGGCTCCAGGTGCCCTAGTAACCATGGTTACGGGCCTAGTTTGAGGCCTAGTTCAGGGCCTACTTTTGGGCCTAATGTGAGGCCTAGTTCGGGGTCCCACCACAGCCCTGTCGCTGGCCCTGTCGGCAGCCCCGAGGACTCATGGCGGCGCTGCACCAAGGAGGGCCGGGGTGCGAGCACTGGGGAACTGCCAGGGCCCCACCATGTCTGGAGGCCGTGGCCCTGAGGCTGGGCACCGGGGGCTCCACAGGCCCTGGGTGCCGGCCTGGGGGGGGAAGGGTTTGGGGGGTACTGGGAGGACTGGGGATTTTAACTGGTATACTGGGAGGAAGGCCCTTTTTAACTGGTGTACTGGGAGAAAGACCACTTTGCCGCTGGTATACTAGGAGACAGGAGTGTTTTAACTAGTATACTGGGAGGAGAAGGCTTTATGACTTGGGGCGCACAGAGGGGGTTACTGGGAGAGCAGATGGCCCTTAACTGGTATACTGGGAAGAAGGGAGCTTTTCCTTTGTATACTAGGAGGATAGTGGGTCCTAACTGGTATACTGGGAGAGGAGGGCAGGTTCAAACTGGTATGCTGGGAGCATGGGGAGGTTTACTGGGGGGGAGCTGGGTTTCCACCAGTAAACCGGGAGGACTGGTGGGGGGGGGGGGCTTCCTCGGCTCTGGAGCTGTCCCAGTTTCCCGTAGTTCGTTCCAGTCCTTCCAGTATCCTCAAATTCAAGGGTTCTGCTCCAAAACGCAGTCGCTGGGGGCTAGTTTTGTGGTGAAAAGGGGGAATTTGGGGGTCCTTTAAACCCTTGTTTCCCAGTACAGGTGGAGCCTAAATGGGGGGGGGGGGGGAGGGCAGCGGGGAAATACCGTTTTTAAAAATTTGTAATAACTTTTTTTTTTTCCCAATTTTCTGCTTTGTGTCCCTCTCCCCTGTGTTTCTAAAAAAAAAAAAAAAAAAAAAAAAAAAAAAAAAGCAGAATTTAAACTCAAAAAGTGTCGCGTCTCTGTGTGTGTGGGGGCGCTCTCTCTCTCTCTCTCTCTCTCTCTCCTCTATGGTTCCGGCCGTTCGCGCCGCACCTCTCTCGCTCGCTTCCGCGTGGCCGCGGCAGCCAATGGGAGGCGGCGCTCGCCGGGAGCGGGCCAATGGGAGCGGGGGGTGCGGGGCCTCGGGCACTCGGGCGGTGGCGGCGGCGGGAGGTGAGGGGGCCCACGTGGGGCTGGGTGGGGGGGGCCTGGGGGGGCTCTATGGGGTTGTCCCTGTAAGGGGGGGGGGGAACCCTATAAGAGGGTCTTTATGGGAGGGCCCCATAAATGGGGGGGCGCCCACGTGGGGCTGGGGGAGTTCTATGGGGGAGGGGTCCTTTTGGGGGGGTCCCTTATGGGGGAATAATTGGGGGGGGTCCCGGGGGGGAGCATAATGGGGGGGGGGTCACCATGGGGGGGGGGTCTCCCTACAGGAGGAATAATGGGGGTCGTCTTTGTGGGGGGTCCATATGGAGGGATAATGGGAGGGGTCCTAATTCGAGGGTAATAATGGGGGGGGGGGGTGTCCCTTTCGGGACCTTCCCATCAGCCCCCCTCTCTCCCCCCCCCCTCCAGGACCACCGACCCCATGGAGCCCCCCCGCGCCTCCCCTCCCCCCCCACCTCCCGCTTCCCCCCCCCCCACCCCCT